AGAGCCCAGCGGATCGTGCCCACAGCCCCTCCCGGCCCCCCAGGCCCTGCCTTCCCCCCGCACCCCTCTGCCTCACCGGCCCCGATGCTTTACCTGACTTCTGCTTCCACATGACGAATCCACAGATGGCAGCGACAACCAGGACTGCAGCAACAGCCGCCCCCGCCACGATGGCCACCAGGTTGGACTCCGTCTCTGGAGGGAAGCACCACCATGAGCAGGGGAAGGGGAACCACCCCAGCCCTCCCCTCCCCGGGCCCAAGGCCACCGGGCTCACCCCACACGTAGAGTTGGGGCTCGGGCAGGCTGGCGTGCTCCACGCGGCACCGGTACTTGTCCTTCTCCCCCGGGTTGGCCTCGATGGAGGCCCAGGTGTAGTAGGTGCCGTCGCTGTTGGGCACGATGCCCCCACGCTCCGTCTCCTGGTCCCTGACCTCCCCGTCCTTCAGCCAGCTGACGGTGATGGGCCGCGGGTAGAAGCCGTAAGCGCGGCAGTGCAAGGTCAGGATCCCGTGGGCCTCCTTCCCCGACACTCGCACCGTGGGGCGCTCTGGGGAGGGGGTGGCAGTGAGGGCCGGCACACGCACCCACGCTGGCCGGTCCCCTCGGTCCCCGTCTCCCCCTCACCTTTCCTCTCCAGCACAGCCCGCCCGTTGCTCACGTGTTTCCTCAGCCACTCGATGCAGGTGTTCTCCAGGTAGTTCTTCCGCTGCTCAGCGACAGTCCCGTCTTCCTCCCACTTCCTCTTGGTGATTTGTGCCGCCGCATCCGCCGCGGTGAACGTCATCGTGTCCATGTCCAAGGCAATGAAATCCCTCCCATCGTAGGCATTCTGATAATACCCCCTGGTGCGACCATCCTCCAGGAGGTCACAGCCAACCATGCGCTGCCGCACGTGAAGCCCTGGAACACGACCAGGGAGATGGGGCTGAGGGGCTGCTGCAGCCCTGGGACATCAGTGGGGCACAGACACACCCCCCCCCCTCAGCAGCACCCCCCAACCCAGCTCTGTGTGAGCCCTGGGGTCATTGGGCACCAGCACCAGGGCTGCCCCTTGTCCTGCCCAGGGCCCACAGCACTTGGGGTGTCACCTAAAGCCGTGATGCAGATCCCCACCCACAACATGGCTGGGCTGGCACCCAGCCCCACGGCTCCCTGGGACAGCAAGGGGCTGGGATGGGGACCTGAATGTAGGAAGTGTGGGTTAGAGGAATGGACAGTGAAGTGGACTGAAAACTGGCTAAAAGACAGAGCTCAGAGGGTCGTGGTTAGGGGCACAGAATCCAGCTGGAGGTCTGTAACAAGGGGTGTTCCCCAGGGGTCAGTACTGGGTCCTGTCCTCTTCAATATATTCATCAATGACCTGGACGAAGGGATGGAATGTACCCTCAGCAAGTTGGCTGATGACACAAAATTAGGAGGGGTGGCTGACACCCAAGAGACATCACCATACAGAGAGACCTGGACAGGCTGGAGAGTTGGGCAGAGAGAAACCTAATGAAATTTAACAAGGGCAAGTGCAGGGTGCTGCACCTGGGGAGAAATAACCCCCTGCACCAGGACAGGTTGGGGGTGACCTGCTGGAGAGCAGCTCTGAGGACAAGGACCTGGGAGTCCTGGTGGACAACAGGATGCCCATGAGCCAGCAATGGGCCCTCGTGGCCAAGAAGGCCAATGGCATCCTGGGAGGCATCAGGAAGAGTGTGAGCAGCAGGTGGAGGGAGGTCATCCTGCCCCTCTGCTCTGCCCTGGGGAGGCCCCATCTGGAGCACTGGGACCAGTTCTGGGCTCCCCAGTTCCAGAAGGACAGGGAACTGCTGGAGAGGGGACAGCAGAGGGCTACAAAAATGATGAGGGGCCTGGAGCATCTCTCCTACGAGGAAAGGCTGAGGGACTTGGGGCTTTTTAGTCTTGAGAAGAGATCTAATCTTAGGGGGAGATCTAATTAATGCATACAAATACTTAAAGGGTGGGTGTCAGGAGGATGGGGCTGGTCTTTTCTCAGTGGTGCCCATGGACAGGACAAGAAGAAATGGGCACAAACGTGAGCATAAGTTCCACCTAAACATGAGGAAGAACTTCTTTCCTGTGAGAGTGGTAGAGCACTGGAACAAGCTGCCCAGAGAGGTGGTGGAGTCTCCTTGTCTGGAGACATTCAAACCCACCTGGACAAGTTCCTGGGCAATGTGCTATAGGTAGACCCTCTCTGGCAGGGGGGGTTGGACTAGATGATCTCCAGAGGTCCCTTCCAACCCCATACAATTCTATGATTCCATGTTGGGGGGGGGGTACACAAGGAGATGGGGTGTGCTGCAGGGAGCTTCTCTGCCTCTGGCATGGGGGCTTCAACACAATGAGTAGAGCAAGGGGCTGGGAGCTCCTCTGGCTCTGGGGCTCTCGACTGCCATGGGGATGGTGAGGAGCTGCGATGTGGTGTCCAGAAACCCCTCCGGTGCTGGGACAGGGGATTCCAAGCACTGTGGGGCTGGGACAGGGCAGGCAGTACCCCCTCAGCCTGGGGGATGGTGTGGCTGGGAGTCCCATGACAGTGACACCAGGCAGGGAAGGTCTGGCACAAGCTGGGGCAGCAGCGTGGGGCAGGACAGGATCCTGGGGGGAGGAACTGTCCTGTCCCACAGAGCCCCAGCCCCACGGAGCCCCAGCCCAGCCCACACTTACCCTCGCTCTGGTTGTAGCGGCCCCGCAGTATCTCCAGGTTGATGCGATCAACCTGCTGATTATGCTGTGCGATCTGGGTCTGGGTGTCCCAGTACCACTGGTCCAGGTTGGCCGCCATCCAGTCCGCCCGGGGCACCATCCTCCCCGTCTCACTGTCGTAGCGTAAGATGAGGTTCCCATCCATGTACCCCTCAATCACAAACTGGGGCACCCCCGGGCTGGGCTCCGACACCGCAGTGTAGAAGTAGCGCAGGGAGTGGGGCCCTGCGGGGACACAGGGGGTGGTGAGAGGGAGAAGGAGGGTTGGGGGGGACACAGGGGTGAGGGTGCCCTATGTGCAGGGGTGGGCAGTGAAGCTGGGTGGGAGTCCCAGGGGAGTAAATTGGGGGGTGGGACCTGCTTCAGTGGGTATGTGACTGGTGGGAGGACAGTGGGGAGCCCAGTGTGTCTGGGAGGGGGGTCCTGCTTCCCGGGGAGTCCAGGGGGGTCCCGGTGTCAAGGGCAGCAGATCGACGGGAGGATGTGGGGGACCGGGAAGGGGGTTCAGGATTGTGAAGGGGGATCTCGGTGCCCGGGAAAGGGGGGTAGAGCATCCCACGGGGTCCCGGGAAGGGGAATGTAGGGGGGAGCTCCGGGGGGGGGGAGGGGGAGCGGTCGGAATGGGAGGTCTAGGGCGGTCCCTGTGCCCAGGGAACAGGGGTCAAGGAGGGTCCCTGTGCCCAAGGATGGAGGGGAGGGGAGAGGGGGTAAAGGGAGGCGGGGATGTCCCGGTGCAAACCCAAAGGGCTCCAGGGGGGGTCCAGGTGCTCAGAGGATGAAGCTGAGGGGGGTCTCAGT